CGTTTCCTAAAACAAACAATCAAACAGAAAAATCATATGTTCTATCACCCGATGTCCACCTATATATACTTAATATTCGACAAACCGTGAGATGACTATGTGAACGCCTAGTACATTTATTTAGGCAAAAATAACTTTTCATCCCAAAAATGTGTGTTTTGTGAAGAAGGTTTTTCACTGCTGTAAAATGCACATGAGCCCATAATGCAGTATTTTAGTTTGACCAATAATAGACCCAGATGAATGCCGGGTCATATAAAAATTTGTTTTTATGTTTCATATTTTATTCAAGAGAAGTAATGTTTTCAAACTTTTGCAGTTTATCTTTTCAGTCTCACTTTTCACTTTTACCTTTCAGACGCTCAGCGGCATATTCACGCGGAGTTTCAGATTATTGCTATGCCCGTTTTCTTCATGCGGGACAAAAAACAGTGTCTGTGTAATATCGTAATGTCTAAGCAAAAGAGCAAAGTGTGTTTCGTACGAACTTGGGCCGAGGTTATTTGGTAATTTGCATGACGTTCCCAATGACAAGCGACGTGCCTATGAGGCTCTTATAATAACCAAGTAAGGTGATTTTAAATTACTGTAAAGGAGTTATTTTTCGCGGGCTCAATATTTCGCGATTTAGGCCAAAGCTCAGTTTTTGGAATAATTCGCGGGTTCTAATTTTCGCGACGTGGTGGGATCTCAATATAGATTCTAATGTGTTTACATTTTACCAGGATTGATCGTGGGACGTATTTTTTGCGAATTCTATGCGATTCGCACAATTCGTGATAATTAGGTCCTCGCGAAAATTAAGTCGTTTACCGTAAGTTTTGATGCATTTTTTTCTGCTTTTTTTATTGGGAAAACAGCAACCACGTAATAAACGTATGGCTAGAGATGTGTATTAACCAAAGTTTTTTGTCGATTAATAGGTTTTGCTCAATCGATTCATTAATTAATGAATGGTTGTAATAGTGGAGGCTGATAGAGTTGCGAAGGTCATGAAAAAATATAAGCGATGTTTCGGGAATTATGAACACGTTTAGAGAACGCATTTGCTAAAATTCGTCGATGCATTAAAGGCAGACTCAAATTAACCGTTTTGAAGGGACTGCAGATTAGTCAATTTAATGGTGTGTTCGGCTTACATTCAATGCTGCGTGTACAGGAGAAAACAAAATATGCACCTATTTTTATTTACGTAAAATGCAAGATATAGCGCTGTATTTCAGCAAACAAAAACTGGAAAAAACTGGAATAGGTTGTTTCATATAGTTTTTATTGAATCAAAATGCGTGACAGTGTGTTTGAAACTTGAGGTAGTTTTGAATAAAAACATTCACGTTTATGTACTTCATTATGGGGCATCCTGGAGTAACAGAAGTCTCGATCGCCCATGCTTGAAGTTTTTATGTTGATTTTGGCAGCGACGAGGATAGTAGAGACCCCTTCTTTACCAAAACCTTTGTTGACACATTAACCAAAGAGAAACACATTGACTAGTCAGCTGGGTAACCAATTGTTTCGAAGCGCTGCTTATGATGCAATATGGTACACAGTATTGACAAGGGTTATTTTTGATGACGTGTGACTTTAGTTGTGCCTCTATTTGTAACGTGTAAACGTGACGATTTATGTTTTCCATGTATGATAAAGAAACGATACAATTCATTTTAGGAAGCCTCTTGAAATTTCGGAGAATTTATGCGCACTGTAAAAGGGCTAACATTTGAATCATGTCGAATTTTGAAATATATTTTACTTCCCTTAATTCAAAAGTTAACATATTCCACAGATAGCTGTCTGGTTAGGAAAAAGCTGACGAAGAATTAAAACTCTACCCAAAGCCTAAACAAAATGCTTGACGTTTCGGACTACCTCGGTCCATTGGTCACGTGACTATCGTAAATATTTGCTAAGGAATCGAAAAGACTGTTAGCAAAATAGTTTAAAACGTATATGCAAAAAAAAAATAAAAAAAATTCTCCCCAGCCATTTAAAAAATTGCCAGGCAAAATGGGAATTCTTGCGTTCGAAAATATCACCGAAGCCTCTGGAGCGCCCTATGCATAGGCTTCAATAAAATGGTAATCTACTGAGAAGAAACCAAACGACGCACATAACTGAGCCTGAACGGTTCCTCAATCGGCACGCTATCAAGATCAAACTTTAGAGCGTTTGTTGGCTCCAAACGTTTTCGTTCCAATAAAAATGTAGAAAAAAAAGAAGACACTAAGCAAGAGAGGGCGTCAGAGCCTTTGGCAGCAAACAAAGGATGGATCGGAGCGCCCAGGATTTTGGGGCGAACAACACAAATTCCGATAGACTGAGGCGATCACGACGCAGCTTCCACGTGGTGACGACTATAGAAGAGGCGGCAGGAACACTTTAGCATGCAAAGCAGTCAAGAGAAGAACGCGCGAATCACCGGGCGTCCCGAAGAGGTATTCAGCAGTAAGGACAGCCTTTGTGCCTGAAAAAAGATGAGAGCTTCTCCGGGGAACCGTTATGGGGCTCCGGCATACCTATTGTGCTCGACCGTCGGGAAGGAGCTCAGAGGAGTGCTCCTTTACGAGCCCCAGTGCCAGGTCATTTGCGGCTTTCCAAACCTTCCCTGTTTTGCGTTTTCCTCGAGGGAGACGCCGTGTCACTACGGGAGTTCAAGGACCGCAGCTCCTAAACTGCTTCGACAAGAGTCTCATTTGAGACTAACCTAAAGTGACAACAATCTACTCCTTATACTAACTTCTTGGATGCAGTTTTCTTCGCTGAGGGGGCACGGGGGAAGAGGAGGGGGGGGGGGGGGGGGTGGAGGGCGCGCTAGCTTGGAGTTCGTTGTCGTTGAATCCACCCGCCTGAACTTTGATGTGACCATGGCGGTGTTCTGGCTAGGATAAGAAGGCATGTACACGCGGTTGCCTGCAGTCCGGATCGACGGATTGCCGGGACCTTGTGCCAGCGATTTGTTGCTCAGCCGTTTGTAGTTTCTTTGCCATGACTGGGCCTTCTTTTTGGTTAGAAGAAGACATTTGCAGGCAGTTCACTTTATTATGTTTGGAAGGCGAGTAAAGGCCCGACCACACTAGCGTGAACGGCGCCACCGGGCGGCGCCGCCGGGCGGCACCGCCGTTCGGCGAGGAGTCCACATTGGCCTCCGTTTTGCGTGCGTCACGTGACAGCACTGGATCTCGCGATCGCGCCTCCCGTCGGATTTCCCGCTCTTTCGTCGTCTGCTTTTCGTTAGGTCCTTCCGTTTCGGCTCCCATCTTTCGCATATATCAGCATCGAAACCGCACTCGCTACCTACATACTAGGAGTCTATGATGACCTGGTGAACAGCGTTAATGTGATTATCCTAGCCTGCTCGTTTATCTTGCGACGTCGCCGCGCTTTGAAGGGAAGGGGGCGCAGGTTTTGGATCCGGCCGAGTTGGTTCTACTGAAACACCGAAGGACAGGACAGTGCATTGCTGCCCCGGTGGCGCGCCAGAGGTGAAAGCTACTTTCGAAAGTGCCACGAAATCAACACGACATCCGTCACAACATAGACGACATGCAACAAGTGCCACGCAGAAACTCACTTGCAATTCCGAATTCCTCTCCTATAATTTCTCAGCGGTTGTTCTTAGCGTCATTATCTAGGTAGTCTGGCTGCGTCTTGTCATACAAAAAGGGAAACAGACGCACAGTTTCAAGGAACCGCTCTGTTGCGAAAGGCATCGGGGGAAATGGGGATAGCAGACGACACGAAACACGTCCTTCGGATTGTGAAAGACGCGCCGAGGACCGGCTTGAGCGTTGCCATGGCATCGCGACGTCACTATTTGCGCCACCTCTCATTGGCTCCTCTCTTCTGCGGCGTGCGGCTCCGAGCTCTGAACCGCGCACGGGGCGGTTGACTCTGCGGCGCCGTACGTCGCGCCGTTGAAGCCGAAAACTGGTTTCGGTCGGCAAACAGCAGCACCGACCGTCGCGCCGCAGGCCTCCGCGACGCCAATATGGTCGTGCCTTAATATGCAATGTAAACAATTCGCAGCGTGGGTCGGGCTTATTCTAAACAGAAAGTACCCATACCGTTTCCTTCTATTGAAGTGTTTGTGCGAAGCCTGTGTGATACTGTTTTCGTCGTGCAGTTTAATAAACCTGCCGAACATAACACTTAAATGATGCCAAGCCGGAGGCAGTGACTAAATTTTCTTTCACTATCGATAGCTAAAGCCGCAATTACTTTCAGCTTTAAGGAATGTCTAAAAAACAATATCACTGGCAAAATGTACATTTAATAATATTTGATTCCTCTATAAGGGCGCGTTTTTTCAGGATAAATAAACATAGCCGAAGACACAAAACCTTCACCACGAAGTCTCCTCGCATCAGCACCGGTAATATTGTTATAGATCGTTTTCCGTATTTCCAGCATTCAATTATAGTTCCTTTAACCTTAATTCTATTTTCAATGTCTATATCGCAATTCGCCGTAGTGACTTAGTCTAAGTTGGGTCTGATGTGAGTCTTTTTAACATGATTCAATGTCGATTGCAAACGTTTGTTGTAAGACGACTAGGGAAAAAGTGGGAGGTGGAGAGTGTCCCGGCATCACGGTTGTCATTAAGGTATTTTGTGCATTTAAACTGCAGTTTACGAACCAGACAAAGCGTTTGGGTTTAACATTCAATTGCCGAAGCTGGAAAAATACTAGAAAGTCACAGCCGTAACACAATAGCAGCCACGGTATTTTGATCCTGCAGTACACAAAAAGAAATTAAAGGAAAAGCCTTTGATCCCGTGTGGGCAAAAACAAGATAAATAAGCGAACGTCGGCTGCAAATCGGCACCTTCGTATTTTCGGAAACCAATTCATAGATATGCTTGAACAAAGAAGTTTCCTGCATATTTGCTTTGTTTACCAAGCGATTTAACGAAGACCAACGATAAATTATCTCCCCTTGAACGAAGGGTTTTAAGCAGCAAGCGCACAACGCGGGTACTTTTTTGGATTGAAATGACATGTCATACCGAGTCATTATCGGTCTTGGCGAAGCGGAGCATGACGGTCACAAACGCGGTGTAAAAAAGCACCAGAAGGGCGAGCAAAATACGGCGAATGGTGAACAGACGACAGACAGTCAGTCTGGGCGGGTTCAGCCCCATCGACGAGACGCACATCTGGGCCAAAAAGAAGGTTGGGAACTGGAGCTGGTACCGCTTGCCCACGATGGCCATGAGGGCCTCGAACTGGCTCAGCACGTCCATGGTGGCGTCGTGGAAGCCGGCTCCTGCCAGCGTGATGCCGACGTAGACGCAGTACAGCGGGAACGCTTCCAAGAGCACGGCCAGCAGACCCCTCCCGAAGGGCGACGGCGGGAAGTCGCCCAGCAGGGCCCCCCGGATGTTGGCGAGGGTGAAGGCGGTGCACATGAGGTACCAGAGCAGGACCAGGCCACTGAAGATGGAGTCCAAGTCCTGAGCGGAATTCGCCTGGTGGAAGTAGAGGTCTCGGACTTGGCGCACGACCTCGGCGGGGTCCTCGTGGTCGGAGTGCTTCAGCGTCACGATGTAGCCCTTAAGGTGGTCCATGTTACCCGCCGCAAGTTCCGTCATGAAGGAGTAGAGGAAGATGGAGAAGCAGGTTGGTCCTGCGAACGTTTCGTTTTGGTTATTTTATTAATATATCAGGATACATTCATCACTACTCTGTCAATGGGAAAACAACGTAGCCCAGTAAGTTCTCAATATAAAAACAGGAAAAAGCAAACGTTCAAAGGTACACGCACACATAACGCGAGATATGAAGTTACAAGGGCAGAATTTGTTTGTGGCATTATATTTTGGCAAGTAATCAATGAGCAGATTAATGTAGAACTTGGAATAAATGTTTAAAGAGGAGAACGTGTACATACACAGTAAAGCGTGAAGGTACAGCACATCCTGCGTCAGAGATGGAAGAGCGACTGACCCTAAGGAGCATGTCACCGCTGATATCTTACACGTGGCACGTTCAGGAATGGTCAGAACCAGAGCACTCGATGACAGCCGAGAATGGGCTAGAGCTTCCCGGAAGCGTACAAAATTATAAATGAAAGACTTTAAGCGGGGATTCACGCTGGATTCGAACCGCGCTCCTCCGCGTGGCAGGCACGTGCATTGCCAAATTCGCCACGTGCGCGGCAATATTCACGCAAGTATAAGGCCGCCAAAGCAACAAAAAATGAATTGCCAAGGGTGATTTCAAGCAATGCGTCAAGAATAATACTATCCTAATCACAATGGACAATTGGTTTTGTAGCAGACGCACAAAATTTGGATAAGGAGGTTCATATTCGAATTATGTGTTTTCTTTTCTTCACTTGGAGTGTGGAGGCAGAAAACAAGGCAGCTTGGGTGTTGCTTTACAAGACTCTGCCTTCCCCACAGCAGCAAAGAAAAACGACGTGAATATGCACCATTTTTAAAATAATAATACAAACACACAGAGTTATGTAAAGAGGTATTTAGTTGTCAGAGAAACAGATAAGCGAGCAGTAAACCAGATTGAAGGCAAATATAACAAACAGGCAAGCTGGTAAAGGTTAGACACACTATAAATAAGAAACGAACAGACGACATAAAAGGGGCAAATACACATGATTTAAAAGTGCATCTTTGCGCTTTCTTGTAGATCGTTCGTGTCCGGTTTAGGTTGCGTACAATTCAACCAGAGTCCCATTATTCACAACAATCATTTGAGGTTTCCTAACAAACGTTAGGTGCACACTTTCTTGGCTTTGCTCAAGCTATATATAATAAATTCAGATAAAAAGTTTTTAAAAAGTGTGATACTGTATATCTGAACATCTGAGTATTATCATTTGCTCTGCAGCGATGCATTTGCCAGTGTCTACAGGCCGTGTCATAGACCATTTTTCTGATCTTAAGTCTGGAAATCGATATGAATAGCGCTCGTAAAGAATAACAATTTTTTTATTATATGTGAAGAACGATTTGATATTTGTACGTTATTAAGTTTATACAAATGGCTTTCTATAAGCACCGTGCGCGGTCTTGCATTCAATACGGACTGCATTTTTCGGGAGAGTAATATGCTATTAAGATTTGTAGAAGTGATATTCCATAATAAAACAAGTTATAAGGTAACCAGAAAATGGAATTATAAATAATAAACAAAATTGAACTTGGAATTGTGTGAAAATATTAGAACTTACAACCAACTTTTGATAATTCACGACATGCATGTTGCTGGTTTGCGTCACATATCATGCACTTGTTAACAAATATCACTAACACTTCTTACGCTTTCTGTTGTATCTCTAGTATGTGTACCAAGTGAAAGCATATATCAATAAAACATGTATTTTGTGATTGGAATGAAACTGCCTGTTTGTTATTACTCTATTCGTGCAAGGTGTTTTGAAAAAGCTCGAACATTTAGTTTATTTCGAAAATGATTGACTGTACTAATAATCTTATCACTTTCAAGCCCTGTGAAAAAATAGGTTCATAGTATAAGCATCTATAAAAAAACATTTTACGATGTCCTTAACATTGTGTGTTTTCGGGCCCATCACAGCGCGAAAGAATTAGTGCTCGGCGCTCGGTGCGCAACGTGCGCGCGATTCACGCTCGGGGCTCGGGCGGCCGCGAGTCGTTGGCCGGCTGCTGAAGTAAAAAGGTGTGCTTTGGTGTTCTGCCTCATATGTCCTTCTTGCGGGCGAGCAGTAGGCACCAGGCGCGTAGCCAGGATTTTGTTTCAGGGAAGGGGGGGGGGGGGGGGGGGCGTCTATGACAAAACGCTGTATGAGGGGGAGGGGGTGAGGAGGTCCCAGCAAAATGGAAGATTTCGGGGGGGGGGGGGGCGGATGGGCCCTCTGGGCCTCCCCCCAGGCTACGTGCCTGGTAGGCACCCAACACTTCCTACAACATATACGCTAAAGAGAAGTGGTTTTAAGGCTTGACTTCATGGGGCGAACATGCCGCGAAAAATCGACAAATTTTGCCGGCGGCTTTTGCTGTGCGCGTCGCATTAGTGTAGTTGCTGCTACGTCGCCCCCAAAGCGAGCGTGCAGTCCGGGAAAGTTCGTCAGTTATTCGCCATAGATTCGGTTCATGGAGTTCAGCCTTTACTCTCCGGCAGCCCTCCGGCTGTTTGTTGTCTGAATTCAGATCGAATTTTATTTATTTCTACACACTGACAGCGATAACGGAGATAACTTTCAGATGGATCTAGAGCGACACAACGGGCACCGCAAAGGGACAGCCATTGGAGCAATTCCTCATAATTATAATTGAGGCAGTCGAACTTTTACAATTATATACAGATTCTCCAAATGTTAGCAACTTACTTTCAGTGTCCTAATAAGTTTTCTTTTGTTTTGTTATAACAGGGCAAGTTTCGCGGAACTGACTTTTTTTTTTTTTCAAATCCGTATTGAGCATACGTAAGGAAAAAACATTAAATAATCACGTAATCTTATATGCATGATCTGGTTTCGTGGTGATTAGAAGATATAAATTGAGCGGACTGGGTCGTGCTCAAAAACATGTTCTGCAAAAGTTTTCGGGATATTTCTAAAGGCTCCTTTCGAGTATATGCACTGTCTTTGAGTAGTAGCCTTGATGCCAAACAAAAACGGTAGTGGCAAAAAACATAAATCGGCCTACTTTCGTTTCCTTCTAAACAATAAAGTCCTACTTCAACGATAATAAAAATATAATTTAATAATACCTGGTTTCGTTTAATATATCCCAATGAAGACCTATCCTTGAATGCGGAAGGCTGTATGTGCTGTGCAATAAGTTTTCCTCGAACACCAAACCAATATTCTTTAGTGTACCATAAGTAAGCATGTTAGGTTTTTTTTTCTTCTTCGTCTTAATAGCTATGTAATGCAATATCACTAATAGTGATAAAACAACCAAATTAGCCTATATTATATGCTAATGATACAACTGTTCTTTATGCTGGCGACGACTCATGCGAGTTAGATTGAGAAGTAAATACACTGGTAGATACAATAGCACCATAGAAGGACAGAAACGCTTTAAAAAAAAAACACAAGCAAAACCTTGGTTGTAGCGTCTCGACCGAAAAATGAAAGTGTTCATTTAATCAATACTATATATTTCGATTCGGTAGATATTAGGCTAGTTGATAGATTTAAGGCATTAGGAATTGTGTTTTCTAAGAATGTGTCCTGGGGCGAGCATATTGAATACTTGAATAAAATTATGGAAAAGAGTAGAACTGATATGCCGGCATCGATTTATGGTTCCAAGTTTCTACCTTGATCAAAATGTCTGCATGATAAGTCAGTATTTTATTATTCTTTATTTTGTGTTTTCAGGTTTGGGGAAAACTACGGGGACAAACCTAGGGAGAGTGCACCTAATTCAAAAAAGGATGCTGCGCAAATCGCAAATTCACCATATCGTTGGCATAGAGAGAGCCTATTCCAAAATTAGAATGTGCTCACTATTCATAACCTTCATAATTACAAGCCATTCATAATACTTTAAACAAAACAGCAATGTCACTACTCTTGCATGATTGAACTGGATGATCTACAGCGACATCTCGTACCTACAAAATTAGAAACACTGACCGCAGAAGTCTGGTAAGCTGGGCGAGTTGGTCTGATGACAAAGTGAACAGAACGGCGCACAAAGAGACAAGGGGAAATAGAAGGAACTTGCGCGACACACATTTAAGCGCTGATTTGCAACTGAATTTATATATAAAAGGAAGAAGGAGACAACGTTCTGAAAGTTATGCATTGCCAGAGCGTGCTACACATAACACCACACCATCTAACTAAGATGTCTTTGCTATATAGTTCGATCTAAAAACAAGCTTACTGTTTTTACCAGTGTCACTGATGGGTACGTAACGCAGCGCTCCCCCAGCTATTAATGCAATGCGTTCTAAACTTTCTCGGGTCGTTTTGCCTTGATAAAGTTCAATTATATTTGTGTCTTTAAGGATTGGGGAACAAGAGCAGGTATTGCAATGTGGGGGAAGATGACCGCCCACCGTAGATTTCTATCAATCATCTTGCTCGAAGAGCCGGTTAGAAATCCTGACTATTGCCAAGTAGCAAAGTTTTGATTCAACACCGGTGAAGAAGTGTTGGCCTACAGAATCCTAAGACTTCTACACTTGTTGCATTCCCATGATATTTATATGGACACCATAAATATTTGAGAGTTAAAAAATGCGCACTTCTTCATTTAGGATTCGATTCTGTGATTATTTAACAGTATTGTTCAAGTTGCTTGTAGCGTAAAATGTGGTAACATTTATTCTCTTTTTCAAGGGGGGGGGGGGGGGGGGGGGTAGAGGTTACAAAATAATATTTCGTGTTCACTTGGCTTGAACTTCAGGCTCGTGCTGCGGAATTTATAGGGAGCGGAGAGATGGCGTCTAGCGCATCTTTTTTTGCCAGGTCTGCACCATTTACCTAATATGAAAATAAAATCCTATTTGTATAATATTTATTATTATATATTGTCCGTGAATAAATCAAGAACAATAATGTGTAGTTTGTCACCTTTGTACCTTCGCATTATTTGCCCTATCAACATAGTTTGTCATCTTGATACAGTCAAGGCCGGTTCACACATGCAGCGAAGCGCTGATGTAGCGCTCCACTCGTGTCGTCAGCTACTTATCGTCAGCCATGTGCAACAGTTCTGTTGGTGCGATACAAAGCTGGGGAACGCTGCCGTCAGCACGCGCTTAGCGCGAGGGCAGCGCTATGCTTGTAGCGCTCCGCTGCATGTGTGAACGGGCCTTCATTCAGTTTGTATGGCGTGATTTCATAATGACTGTACATCTACGGTCAGATAATGTACTAGAGCTGGCTTTACACTTTTGTTACTGCTTATCTTGATTATTTAGTGGCTGCTATAACTCGTGACCTGTTTTACTGTACGCGATTTATTGTAATTTCCCTGCTTCTGTTGCGGATGGTATGGTGGTCAAGAGCACGTAAAGCCGTCTAGTGCGGCTTTTTTGTTTCCTCGGTTCACACCATTACATGTAGTGGAAGTAATTTATTATAGTTATTGTTATTGTTATTACTGTTATTGTTGTTACTGTTATTGTTATTATTGTTATTGTTGTTGTTGTTATAATATAGTGCGCTGTGCCCTGATATAGACGCACTCAGTGCGTGTCCGACTTTAAGTCATGTGCTAGAATGAATTTAGAAATAGAACGAATGAGGCGAACAAACCGGATATAATAATATACATAAGACTGGCGACGTTTGCTAGTGCCGACTATTATAGTCCTTACCTGTTCTGTGTACTTGATTTGGTGCCAATAACTCGGGTAAAGTCACCAAGGTGAAGAATGTTTACGCATGACCTCAGGCTTGTTTTGGAACACAGAATAACCACTAAATTACGACTGTTCTTATGTGCGCGGCTTCAAGTGGACCGGAGTGGGCACGTTCCACGCGCGTTCGACTGTGCGCGTGCGGGTTTGAACACGCCAAGAAACAGGAGTCTACGTTCGATTCAGTCCTTAACGCAAGGCCACACCGGAAACAACCGGACGCGCAAGCGAAGGGCCGTCGGGCTGCGGGCCCGAGCTTTTCGAGTCTTCCTTCGTTCCTTACCACCGGTGCGAGCCAAGCCGTCAATCCCGCTGACGGCTGGTGTGCGTGTTCTCGGGGCACCTCTCGAGACAACGGCGGTGCCGTCTCCCAGAACAAGCCACCTCGAACGCCGACGCTGCCTCACCACACCTGAAGTCTTCCGACCTCAAGCTTCGCCCCTCAGCTCGACAGCGCCTACTTTGCCATCAACCAAGCACACAGCGCAGCAAGACGGCAACTGATATATGTTTCTCCAATGAAGTATCAAGCGGAGCGTAGAACCGAAATTTTTAACGGTTCGATTCGTGTTCGAGTTGACGGCTTTCGGTTCAGCTTCGGTTCGGTTTCGGTTTAATTTCTGTTCAGTTCCGGTTTAGTTTCGGTTCAGTTCCGGTAAGCCAAAATAATGGTTGGTTCAAACCTTTTTGAACTGTTAAATTTTGAATACATTTTCCGCGTTGTTCTCGAAATCGGAACTATTTCCGGCATGAACTGATTAACTATATACTTTTTTTCTATCGTTCATACTATCCACTTTTATTTTCAGGTAACAAAACGTGGAATTCTAATATTTTATTTCGACACACGAGTAAAATATTATCTAGATTGTTATTCAAAGTTTCGTGTTTATACAACTCCACGTCCCTATGTTTACCGGAGTCACATATATTTTACCTGAACCAAAAGCTTGGCGAGAAGTGTGGTAGTTCGCCTAAAATACCTGTGATTGGTACAACGATGCGTCGCAGTATTAAAAGTTAAATCGTTGCTGTGCCATTGAACTAAGGAATTAATTACATGCATAAAGTCATGGAATGGGCACCTCGTCGAAATATATATCGTGAGGTATGGGTTAAAAACATGTAACCCAATAAATAAATATATATATATATATAGAGAGAGAGAGAGAGAAACAGAGAGAAAAACGTAGCGCAGGATGACAAAACGAATACATAGGTGCGTTTTCTTTCATGTATATACGGGAGTTTCACGAAAAGTTGACCAATTTGATATTGCGAAAACTACTAGTCGCAACGAAAAAAGGCTTGTGTCGTTCTGGTCCTGGGCTAGGGGCCTATTTAGGAAAATAATAAAGTGCGGCATAATTAGAATAATACCTATTTTAGCGAAGTTAACTTTTTTTAACATTGTGTTTGAGGACATGGCTTCAATTAGAAAATCGCTCAGTATCATCGAAAAACATTAAATCAAGAAATTGCAGAACAATAGAAGGCGCGCGCAGCATTTTACGGCTTTCTGCAAAACCACACAAACTCGACGGGTTCTTAAGTTTCGGTTTGCAATCGGAGCGCATCTCGTCCCCGACGGCACGGCGCCCCGTTGATAAATATGGCAACCAGCCTATGCTGCGCTGCGCGAGGAGAGTGGAGCAGAGGTTGGTTGCAGTATTTCTCCACGGAGCGTGGTGCCGTCGGGGCCGAGATGCGCTCCGATTACAACCCGAAACTTAAAAAACCCGGAATGAAGGAAGGAAAAGCAAAAATTCAAGAATTTTATATTTTTGTGCTAAAACCTAAAAGTTGTGCTTTGCAGAGAAGCAACACCGCATGAAGGGCTAATGTTCTAATGCTCTATTCGTCCCGACAACGCACTGTGCTGCAGAAAGTCTTTCACCCTAAACCTCGATGCATTCATAACTTGGAGCTAGCTACGATTAGACAACAATCCCAAAAGGCCCCAGTGTACCCGATGACTGTTTAAAGTTGCGTCATCTCGAACGACAATAAGTGCTTTGTTACGGGTTGGAGCTCAGCAAGTTGGTCCAACTTGCTCAGCTGCCATTTCTCACCGAGAATGAAGAACCAGCGAATGAGGCCGTCCAGGCGCAGGAATCCGACCGCCAGGGGACTCGATCCGGACAGAAAAGTCCCGTTCTCTGGCGGTCCCGCGAAGTACGAGTAGATCTTTTCGCTTTCGGTCGTCCCGTTGGCGGCGAAGTCGACACTGTTGATCAGCACGAATATCCAGACCACCAGGATCGTAACGGTGGACTTGGTCTTGGCCACCGTCTTGGCGCGGCTCCTCCATGGCAAGAAGTTGGTGCGGTAGAAGGCGGTCACGTGACGAATACGGGCGCCTGGATTGATCGGTTGAAAATATGTTTTTAATCTTGGCAGCGACTTTTAAGGCTTGATTTTGAGTGCCTTTTAATGCTCTTTGTTTAGAGTGGTGACATCAGATCATTTTACTCTCGATACTATTGCTGGGCCTTCCTTTTCAAGATCGTGCGAAAGAGCGCCATCCTGAACGATTTCATGGCGTTGATTGTTTTATGGTGGCAGTTTTTTCGGCTAGCTCTTTTGTATTTCTCATGTGTGCGCTTGGAGTCAATATTAGGTAGAGGCGGGATCGGTGGCTCGTGCTGCAGAACCCAGGGATCCTGGGTTCAACCCTCAACCCTGCCCGTTTCAATCTCAATGAGTGCCGTTACTGGTTTGTGGTCCTGTATCACTACTGCGTGGTGCCGGTAAAAGGCCCCAGGTTAACGGTTGTTCTGCACTGGCTCCTTTTCTTATCTACAGCTGAGACACTGCACCCAATGGTCCTGAGTAGCTTCCGGCTGTAAGCCTTACATACAACACAATTATTATTATCATTGGGTACTGAAAAGAGTGGCATAACCCTTTCCTTAAAGGAACACAGATGCTTTGCGGCAGCTGTCCATGAGTAGGGTGCCTACATGTCTGCCTGTCTCAGGCTGAAGACATCCATTGTTGCCCTGTATGTGCCAGCGCTTGACGCTCTGGCGCACTCGGTGCGTGACTTGGGCGGTAAAATGGCGTCTATGCATTAGTCAAAGCTACGCGCTGGTGCTGAGTGACACCGGATTGCGCGCGCTTCAAAATGCATAAAAAAACGATTGGGCGGAAAAATGGCTGAGATGTCACCACTCAAGCAAAAGCGCGAGTGTGTATGAAGGCCAGGGTGTAAGATAGACAGGTGGGGAAACAAGAGCCAAATGAGCGACCGGATTGTGTCCCCCTCGGGTTTCTCTTTTTCTGTGGCGCCATCTATGTGGAGTACCGCGAACTCTCACTCCGGGTGGGCGACCGGTGGCGACCGGCTAAACTGACGGAGATGATTTCTCGTGGATTTTCAATGGAGGACTGTCGAGCTCTAGGTTTATTTTGCGCACTCTCCCGTAGAGTTCCATGCAAATTCGATTCCAATTTTTTTCTTCTCGCCGCAGCGCCATCTGTCGCAAATCGGGGGTACCCGCAAGCAGACGAGTACACAATCCGGTCACGGCGCTGCGGTAGGCTCCTATGGGCCGTTTCCCCACCTGTCTATCTTACACCCTGATGAAGGCACTCTATTGATGGGCGCCTCCATAACCGACCTTCAGTTTTGGTATCCTCTAACTGTGTTCAGTTCACTTCGTCATTACCAGAGCAGGACAGGTTTTTGCCATTTTACATTCTACTGTGCCCTTTTTCCCAGCATAGGTCTTTCTGGAGGCTGTAGTGACGGATACTTCAGTCTTACCTTCGTAAGACAGAAGGAAGTCAGCAATTGCTGCTATAAACTTGCGCGTGTGTAAAGCGTCTATTAGGGGGTATTCACTGGACGCCATATTTCAGGGCGATGTTTCTAGGTACTGGTGCAATCACACACACATAAAAAAATTATATATATATATATATATATAACAAAGTAAAATTTTGGGGGGTGTTCTAACACCCTGTTGTCTACGCGCCTGGTGCGGAATGCCCGTGACATAAGAACTGTGGAAGCTCTCCGTCAGCACGCGCTTGGCAGTCGCGCACACAGCTATGGCCGCCAGTGAATACTTCCTATAGGTACACTAGTTGGGCGGCTCCATGTTCACTTTACTTAGTATACAGTGTACTAGAAATAGGGGATAGTGTTGGAACCGGGCGGCTCCTGTGAGGCGCATTGAGTCGATATTTACTGATGGCGTCACCGGCACCAGCACCTGAAGGGCGTGAGGTGCGCCCATACGCCGCGATACGCGGGGAATACGGAAAGTTTGTGTCGCTCTGGTACAGTGATCAACCCCATATAAAAGAAAATAGTCTAGGTAAAGGCCGCAGCAGTTCTTGACGCGGCTTACATAATTTGCAAAAAAGACGAAAACAAAAAAAAAAGGTCTTTTGTGGTTAAAAAGCGCTATGTGATAAAATTGAAGATCGCAGACTGCTCTCTTTTCTTCAAGGCGCTTGGCCGCCAGACCGAGGCTTTTTGACCAGACTTCTCTTGCGGCTCGGTCCTTTGGAACGATGAAGATTGACACTTTCCGCTCACCTTTCACACGCGAGTAGCCTGATCTGCAGTCTGGCGCGCAGCAGTAGTTCCACCAGCGTTGTGCCGAAATTTCAACATTAAATTTAAACATCTAAAGTCCGCAGTGTACTCAAGAATCTTACTGGGAAAGAACACGCCTAAACTAAATACAATGTTCCACCAACCGCTCTGACAGAGTACAGTGTTTGAAACACACGAAACAAATTTCACAAAACTAGGCGGGCTGCCGCATTGCCATACCCACCCTTTCAGGTGCAGTACACTCTTAGAAAAAAGGGTCAGTATAGTCCTCCCTAAAGGGAGTTCCACCCTTTAGGGATGACTATACTGGCCCTTTTTCCTAATAATGTACTGAAGGAATACATGCGTTCCTTCAGAAAGGGAGAAACTTTCGTCCCTGAAAGAAGGATAGGAAATTTCCTCCGTCGCCTGCATCTCATTATGGCGGCCACGAATTGAGCAAATCGAGCTCAATAAGGCTTAACGAGAACATTAAGTCTGTTGTACGGGGCGAGAGGAGCAGCAAATAAAAAAGTAACACGAATTTTCCGCGAACTGTATTTACTTCCGAAGCCGGCTTCCCCCTGCAGGTAAAGAAACTTACGTTTCGAAAGCATGTAGTCACTCAGTCTTCTCATCGTCAGCACTGCGATGTTAAACGGAGACAACCGGCACCCAGTTATTTCGCGCACTTTATGTCTCACCTTTGCTCTTCCTCGAGCCACAATTCTTTCGTCAACCGCGCAACACGGAGGAGTGGTAAACCATTCGCCCGCAAAACCAAAAACCGCTCTCAAAAAAAGCAAATCCGAAGCAGCCTTTTGGCTCATTTCAGCACGGCAACAAGAAATTATTCCGTAGCCGCGTAGCGTAAAAGGAAGTTAAATCGCTTGCCACCAGATTGCAGGGTCAAGCAGACTAATCTAAAGCCCCTTTATACGGAAAAGTAGCGCAATCCTTTGAAGGATGCCGCCTGCTATCTTGGACCGATCCAGGCGGCAGTACAGTCGATGCGCGGGTGTAAAATAGCAAAACATAAAGATAAAAGGTGTGCGCGTCAGAGGAGGAGGGAGAAGATGGCACTACCTTTCTTATTCAAAGGCGTTAGAGTAATCGCAAGTAGCTATAGTTGGCACTAGGTACCGCCCAATTCATGCTCTACCAAAATATATTTTTATTTTCTCATGCTACTATTGCGCCTCGGAATCTTCGGGAACCCTTATTATACGCACATGTAGAGACATGGTGCATACCACAAGCATCAGCTGAACATACACTGAGCACATTCAAATACATGGCACATACAAACATCAGTACAACGGCACACTAACCCGAACATTACACCCGAGCTCTGCGTTTCCGTCTTTTATACTGGTCGTTTTGAATGTACGGAATTTCTCGGTGACTCCCTAAGCAATAAAAAATATTTCCAGCATGTTCATTCTTTTTCCAGCAATGTCATACCTCTGAGAGTATTTTGAATGGCTCAGGGGAAGAATTTCTTATTAAAAAGTAAACGCTCGATCATGCCGTAATTATTTGAAAGTAAATAAATCAAGCCGCTCCAATGCGGTTCGAAGCCATTAGTTTGTTTCCCCGTATGGCACGTCGTAGCCTGTGTTTCTATTGTAGCGCTTGTTTTTCTATTTGTGCTGTTCGCGCACGGCTTCAATTGCAGTCTTGAATTAATCTCTGTAGAGCGGATATTGACTCAGCTGGAAGTGATGCTTCACGGAGAGAGAAATCACTGTTCGATCAACCTGAATGCAGTGAAAGCCGCGACTTGCGGCAGGTGTTAGGCGTACGGAGCTACGCCGTGGCGAGCTCGAAAACTTCTAGCGCTCATCCCGGTGCGCCACTTGGAAGGAAGATTCTCCAGGAACCGTATTATATTTAAACAGCAAAATAAAAGATGGCTTTATTTTTTTTTAAATTTACCTATCCTTTTTTATGCTAAAATTCCAAACTGTAAATATGCGTACTTTCAGTCATAATTTCGTACTGTTCAGTCATTTTCCTGGAGCGCAATCGCTCTCGCGGATTGAGTGTCACATTGTCCGCTGTACAATAGGAGCTTATGGTTCAGACCAGCGTTCCAACATGACTATCCGCACGTCGATCGATTGCACCTAATCCCTCAAGTGGTCTTAAACTCTTTATTGTAAAGCGGAATGTCAACCTGCGGCACCCCGCCCCCTCCGATCTTGGCTCGACCATGCGGCATCAATGACCGACAGCTTACGTGATCTCATCTTGTTACACCACTGATACGCTAACACACAGTCACATCGGCGATAATTCCAGTCTTCCGTACACAACGCACAACACTGCCATCACGATGATGCTGCCATGTTGCTGACACGCAGAAATACAGAGCAACGTTGATTGCCGGTTGGCACTCGGCATTGAAAAACAGAACCGAAATCAGCACGGAAGGCACCCATGGGTGCCTTCCGTGCTGAGTTCGGTTCTTAACTTGGAACTGCGTCCAAGAAAAACAGTGTCTGCCGGCTGCCTGCAGGCAGCCGGCAGCAAAACCTGCCCCTTTCGGACGCAGTTCCTGCGATTACCATAACGTCGAAAACGTCGACGCAGTTCCGCTTGGTTCCATTTTTCTGATTCCGCGTGGGTCCCGCAAACCGGAGACGGCCATCCTACCCAGTGTATGCAGCGCTGCTGGCACTGCTCCGGAACTTCGCTGTTTCTAGCGGCTTTGTTTGCTCGTTTGATAAAATTAGTGGTAAAAACGTCAATGCAACCGAAATGTTCTGCGCGTTTGAACTAGAAGACGGAATTACAGGCGGCCTTCGCTGCCGCTTAAGCTCAATCAACTCAACAACGTTTATTAAACAACGTGCGCGACGTGCTCGAAAACGAAACCGAAAGCAGATGAGTTGGGAAGGCGAAAGCCTTCTCCCGTCTGCCTGGAGAAGGAAAAAACGTCTCGTTCCTCCCTTCTTCTCGTGTCCGCTTGGGGGCGCGTCAGTAGAAGGGAGGAAGACGCGCCGTTGCTACTTCTTTCCTCCATTTTTTCTTAGAGTGTGGAGTGCCTTCATACACACGCACGCATTAGCTTGAGTGGTGACATCTCAGCCATTTTTCCGGCCCAATCATTTTTTTATGCATTTTGAAGTGCGCGCAATCCTGTGCCACTCAGCTTGAGTGCGTAGCTTTGGCTAATGCATAGACGCCAATTTACCGCCTCAGTCACGTACCAAAAGCGCCAGAGCCTCACGCGCTGGTACATTCAGGAGGACAATGCATGTCTTCACCCTGCGACAGTCAGAAATATAGGCACCCTAAGGCGCAGTAAAGCCCCTTCATGATTTAAAAGTAACGCAAGGTGCGTCGATGTACGAGGCACGTGCAACGTCCAGTCCTTTGGGAAGATCAGGGCGGCACAGCTACTCTATCTCAGGAGTTGTGTGCAGCAGAGGCAAAGGCATTGGCTCGGGCACGGGGCTTTCAGATGTGCTTTCTTTTCGCGAGTGCTCGTGAAGGGAAAGCAAATATGAAAGCCAGGCCCCCGCACCTGTGCCTTTGCGTCTGCTGCACGCAACTCGTGCGATGCAGTATAGATTAAAGACGCCATATTCCTCCCAGGAGTGGCGCGGCACGTATCTCGAGCATTCCACAACAATGAATGGCGTCACTTTTCCCAGGACAAAGGGGCTTTAAGGTGCAGGTGACTGAAGCGCCAAAGCAAATCGTCGATATGCAGGCCCTCACGGGCTCCCATTGCGGAGCTACGCCATTCGAAAAGTACCCCCTATTTGTAGTACACGGTACGTAGGATGCTGACACGAGACGCGACGTTTATTTTACTTTCTTTTTTTTGTTTCGCTTTGGAGCGCTTGAAGGAGTGACCCTTGGCACGAGCTCTTCGCTTGACTTTGCTGCCGCGGCACTTTGTTTCTCGCTATTTTTAGAGTTCTTTCTTTCTTTGTGGACAGGGACCACCTCCCCATGGGGTACTGTAAAAATGGCATCACTCTAAATAAAAAAAATAAACAATCAGGACACACCACAGCCTAGCTTGAGCCCGTTACACGGCTCGTGTGGAGTTACGAAGGGACTTATCAATCGGTTCACACGGTATCCAATAGTCGTATCGCGGCATATGCCCTCGTTGCCCAACGCTACTGAATTAACGGCCCTTTAACCAACGTAACTGTGTCGTGCTCGTAACCTGTAGCCAGCGATTAAATTTTCTACTCCTAAGCTACAATGAGGAGCGGAAGGGTATATCGGGCGGACCAGCCTAGCACCTACTTCCACTGTCTTGTGCTTTTAATCTGTTTTATTTTTATTTTTACACGCTTGAATGTGATTTTTTGGCCATTAAGAGATAAATCGCCGCCTGATTATTCTACTAAAAATAAAGCGTTTACTTCATTGCGTAACCATTTTAAGAAACGCAGCGATCTGCCTGCTCTCGTGAGTTAACCATTAGTCATTACAGGGTAGAACCTGCGATAACGGCAGTATGATATGCAAGGTTTCGTTGATGCCTCCAAGTGAATCTAGGATACCAGATAATTCGGTGGTTGAATTCTAGCAGTGCGTTTTAACGTGGAACATGTCTTCAGCAAGGATAACTTGGTAAAACTGAGAGATTGAAAAAGGGAGATAACGAGCGAGAGGCAAATGATCAGGAACCGCGAGAACAATGTACTAATGTAAAATAATAAAATCTCCCCATGTGGCTGCCTGACAGAATTAACGCACACACGCAGCAATATTTAAACAAGTCGCGGTGTTAGTCCCGCTACGTTGACTACTGCACCGAGATTTTACAATTCAAAAACCTATCTGATGTATAAGAACTTTCCTGATATGACCAATAACCACCGGATTGTTTTCTCCTTCGATTAATTTTTTCGAACTTCTTATATAAAATCGTTAGAAATTTTTCAAGCTAAAAAGTAGAAAAAAAAAAGCATGGAGACTTTGAGGCAAATTTTCATATTGAGTAAACGGGTCCCCCTAATTATCCGGGGTAGTAGATATTTGCCAATGGCTACTTAAGAAAAACTACGCGCGTTATTGGCTTAAAATCCCAAATGACACAGATTTTAAATTTATTCAATAGTCCAAATAAAAAGTTTTCAAGACTGCATTAACTTATTTTAGGCATAAAACAAGTGTTTTACCGCTTAAAACGTTCTCAATTGGGAGTTTCTCCAGAGATCGACCTATCGAAAGACATGAGTGTACAGCGGCTTACCCTTCACAACCACCAAGGTGCTGGTGACGGCGGACACCAGGGCTGCAGTTAGCCACTTGGCGTGCACCCAGCTGTTGAGTCCGTTGACGTAGCACACGGCGTGCTGCAGAAAGAACACGTTGGCCATGACAACGCTGACGACCGACAGTGAGATCTTGAGCACTTTTAAGGGCAGTGTGTCGCTCTGCAAGGTCGGGTCCTCGATGTGGATGCCGAACACAGACAGCGTGATGGCCGCGAAGCGGAACGGGTCCGTGTCGGTATTGCGAAGTCGAGCCGGCGGGTTCATGGAGCCGCTGGTGCCTGTGACGTCAGTTCGCTTGAACAAGTCCGTTGTCATGCCACGGTTGATGCCTCTCGTTTACGCCAGGTGTCGCGACTAGGACATTCCAAGCCACGGTACGCAGTTGCATAAAGCTGTACTAGCCCTTGCCTAAGGATTCTTTCGAAGAGGTTTACTAATTCCGTGGCTTAATTCATCCGTGCGTCAATTCCAAATAAAATATTAGTTTAGACTTTTATAAATCAAGAACATCCGTTCCATGCTTCGAATTGGTGCTTCGGCAGTGATGTTCTAAATCGCAAATGTATACTTACTGCCGAGAGTTGCTGAATTAAAAGAACTCAGGACGTGCTCTTTTATAGGATGGAATAATGTTTAGCAACCCAATGCTTTCGCCGCCAAGCGCAATATTCTCCAGTCGCTCTTCGGTATTAAATATACAGCAATACAACTTTAAGAACAGCCTTGTCCCTACACAAACTAACGAAAACGCTTAAGTCACTTTTTCTTTTATGTAAAGCGCAAAGAGTTCGACGAACTTCAATAATTACGGCTTTTAAGTCTGACGGTGAAAGCTATCGAAAAGCGTACATCACTAGCAGTCTCAAATAATTATTAGAAATCTGACAAAAATGTTAATGAGAACCTGAAAGAGGGAGTAACGGTATTCCCTTGCTCTCTCGGCTCAGCGCCAAGATGCCGCCTGCAGTTCTTTCGGAAACACTAAATACAGTCTGTCAGCAAAACTGGAGTGTTCAGTCGTCAATACGAAACCTCCGCTCTTCAAATGTAGGGGACAAAGTTGCTCTAGGCGACGAAAACATCTGCACCGGGGTTTAAGAACCCCAGTTGTCCGATTGGCTGAGATGCTAGACCACGTGATTGAAAGCTAGATCCCACGGCCAATGCATCGATGTCATGGCTCATTGTTGCTCGGCATCGATCTGCCGCTGCTGACGATGGATCACGCGAAAAACCATTCAAAGTCACGAAGCAATCATTGTGGGGGGACAATACAAAGACGACGGGAGACGCGTGTTTCGCTGTAAATCTTTAATGACGGCATTGGATGGGACACCTACTGACCTCGACTCCGCGACGCCTGGGGAGGTCGATCAGTAGCGGTCTTTGCAGCAACTGCCGCATTTATGAATAGAGTTCAGATTAATAACCGATTACGAATAACAAATCTTGAAGGCCACGATATTGTTTTTGTCTGACAAAAAAAAGACAAGATGCAAGCAAGCCAAATCAGTTATTTTTAGCGCTTAAATCAAGCTGAATCACGTGTGCCTAAAATCAGCCAAAAATCGCACCAAATTTAAAGCACAACAAAAAAGAAAAGTGATATTTTAAAGTTTTGCACTGTTAGTTATTTTATCTCCCTTTCTGTCCTTTTTACTTTTCCACAGCATAAAAAGGAGCACACTTCCGTGCGCTTCTCATTACAAAGTGTCAAACATGGTTTATAAGAAAACCATATATCCAGTTCACGGAGAATAAACACTCTCCTTCATTCTTTTTATAGCGTGGAATAATGTTTGCGCTTTTCGATTTGATGCATTTTTAAGTTGGGTATACGCATATTTGTTCCATCATGTAAGGTGTTCCACAAATTTGGTACTTTAGTTTAAATTTACGGCAACTACTTATTCTTTATAAACGACCCCAAAATTCACTCGTGGCTTGTCTTTACAGAATCACCGAGCGTCTTCGTAAAAAACAACTCTGAATCACATTGGGTGTTCCAGTATTTCTATACTATTTGCACGCAATAGTTTCAGAGACAGAAGCGCAAGAAACGCGAAAAGATGCTAAAACCCTTTGAGCCCAACGACCCTGAGAGAGTCGTTGGGTTAGGCTTCCAGGATGAATGAAATTGAGTTTGTCTGGAAAATAAAAATATCAGTCGCTACATCGATTACCTAATGAGGCGTTTAATGAGCTCCTTGTTTGAAGATTGCAGTAGCGTGCTTCTGCCCCCCCCTCCCCCCTCCCCATCCCCCTGAAACATTTGCTGTTGCTCTAGTAGGCCAGTGTGATCAATAATGCGTGCAGATCATGGTGATTCTAAAGAACGTTTCAAGTTTTCTGACTCTCACAACAAAACTTAGATGTTTTCCGGCTCGAGATGGCAGCCATATAGCTAATCATTTGTGGATGAATTGTGTGGGGCTTGATGCAGTTGAGTCACAGTGGTTTAACATGGCGAAAAATCCTTGAAGTTGTTAACGGTTTGCAAATTTTCGTGCAGGGAAACATTGTCGGGAAAGCCCGCAAACCGAATGAAAGTAAATTGTTCTTAAAAAGGAATCGGCACAGTGATAATATGGCACTGCCCGGGATCAAGAGGACATGTGCTGAGGTTATAAAACCGTTTTTTTTTTTCCACATCGCTAAAACTATAGACACAGCTCGAGCATAGCGCAAGTGATTGAAAACCACATTCTAAAGATTCAATACTTAACGACGTCTGCTTCAGAAATTTGGAATTGATTATCAAAACTATTAAACTAAACCGTTCTTCGCATGCCAGCACCACCTACGGATTCTTCTTTTTAGAAGGAGGAAAATAGTTTACGTATTTAGAAAAAAATATTTATATTTAAACATAACTCACTCTCCTCTTCCTTCCTCTTGACACACACTCTTTTTCATGCATGAGGGGAAAAAAATGCCTCCTCACTGCGTTGTCGGTACTATAAATCCGTATTGCTGGAGACATAGACGACAAGGGTTGAAACATAATCTACAGTCAATTGGAAAAGACATCTTGACAGCAACAACTTTTTATTATTTTTCAACATGTCTTTGGAAATGGTTTATCTTGCGATACTCAGTTGATAGACTTCCATCACGATATTTTTTCTGCTTTCGAGAACGTCGCACAAGTAAACTGCGTTCTTTAAACTTCCAGAAAGAATTTAACACTGTCCCCCATAAGATTCTCCTAGGTACTAAAGTTTTTGAATATTTCTGAAAATATTATTATTTGGCTTACTTACTATTTAACCAATAAAAAACTTGTTGTCTTAGGTAACGTAAAAACATCGTCGTACTTACAAGTAGCATCAGGTGTCCCGCAAAAATCGGTGCTAGGTCCTCTTTTGTTAAAATTTATAGAAAGACATTTTGACAGGAATTAGGGCAAGTACCGCCTTTATGCGGACGATTGTGTTTTATACAGCACCGTAAAGTCAGATTCAAGCTGTGCGGTGTTGCGGGGAGATATTGATCGTTTATCGAGATGGTGCGAAACAAAGAAATTAAATTAAATATTCTAAAATGTAATGAGATAACGTTCACCCGAAAGCGACAACCAGTTTCCTTTACTTAAACAATTGGCGACGTAAAAGTTTTCGGCGTTCATTTTCATGAAATTTATATTGAAGCGCGCGTGTATATATCATGACGGTTAAAGCTAGCCGTGTGTTGAAGGTACTGAGAAGAACCTTTCGAGATTTTGTTTTTCCACTGTAAAAACCACCCTCCCTGTTTCTTTCTAATGTGAGGTTTATGTTAAAATACGCCTCCACGCTCTCGGACCCTAAGGAGCGCCAATTAGAACAAACAATTTGCACATTTATTTCATTCAGTTTGAGGAATTCGGAAGCCAAGCTGCTTCTGCAGTAGTGATGCTCCGACAGACTATTCGAAACTCCAAGAGAACCGAAACCCCCGGCAAAATCAGTATGAAGAAGCAAAGCGGGAGGCTGGCACGTAAGAGGGGCTTGGCCTGGCGGTCTACGTGTGAAACGCACTGAAGAAAATTAAAGTTGTCAAAATGAAATTGCGATTCGTGGTGCAGGACTGTTATTTTCGGTTAGGTTCTCGTTAAATCTCAGAACCATAGTTGGTAGCTGTTCGCCTACTGAACTCAAAGAGCACAAGCGGGAATATATTTCGTTCGAAAATTTCTGTTGTATCTTGTTTGTTTGGCATCGACGTCTTCCGGGCATATTTGTGGGGGCTGTTGTTACCGATGACACCGTTGCGTGAGCATCAGCTCTTGAAGCTTAAAAACAGGAGGTATTAATATTAATGAAACTCCGACTCATAAAGCTGATCATGAACCAAATTAACTTTGAGTAAACTAAAATAACATAAACTGTAAACGACTTACTTTTCACGGGCTCAATACTTCGCGATTTATGTAAAAGCTGAAGTTTTGGAATAATTCGCGGGTTCTATTTTTCGCGATGCGGTGGAATTTCAATATGGATTCCAACGTGTTTGCATCTTACCGGAATTGCTTGCGGGACCTATTTTTCGTGCATTGTAGGTGATTCCCGAAACTCGCGAAAATTAGGTCTTCGCGAAAATTAAGTTGTTTACAGTATATAAACAAATACAAAAGAAAAAAGAAATCCGATTTTGTTTAGAGGAGCGCGGTAACTGTACAGCAAGAAACCATGGACAGTATCTGCGTATACTTGTTAAATTGAATTCGGCAGCTCCTAATGTGCGAGACTGGTTAGTATCGTTCTCGAAAGTTCAACGTACCTCCTGCTTCATCTAAAATTAAGAAAATATATACTACCGGCTCGAATAGGAAACATGAGGGGATGATTCCCTGCGTAGATTCTCACCAGATTTTGAGTAGTCATATTGCACGACAAACGGCATTGTAATGATGGCGGCACACCTCCCAGCTATTGCCTGAACTTGTACTCGGTTCCCAGCTAAGCTCTGAGCGATACCAGTGAGTCGCAGGCGTGTTATTGGGCGCTGAAAACAGAAATTAAAGCCTCTAACGTTTCCGCCAGCAGTGAATAAGTATCAGGCGGGTCAACCATTTTGTGTTTCTTTGATGTGTATTAGCATCAAAGTAAGGCACTTAAGTCAGTTATTTCTCTCAGCACTATGACATCATTTTGTGAAAATAAAGGCCTCATTTGCGCAAAATGATAAATGTTTACATTTTGATAAACAAATTTTAAGAGGGACACCTGACTGTAGAATATTAATATTCTAGACCTTTATCCTGAATATAACAACGCAGACTACTTTGACTTGTTTTGCGGCTAAACATTAGTGCGTGCCAGGTAGGAATGTTT